ACTATTCCTTCTTCTTCATCTTCTGTCCCAAAAGTAGGAGTGGATAGAGTTGAATTTTGTGCATACAGCTATTCATTTATTTATTCATTGACAGCATAATTCTATAAGGTTTTCTTTAATCCTCTGAAATCCATTGCCTCCACACTTCTCATCCTGCATGGGACTTAGATGAGTTGGAGTGTGAGGAGGGGAAGCTGAGGCACCACCCAAATGCTTCATATACTGGCAGGATCTGTTTCAGTCCCTCCTTATTGAATGAAATCCCCAAATTGCCACTTCCAAGGTTGCTTTATGACTTCAGAAACCTAGTGGGATCCCTTTTTCTGTGTCAGCTGCAAGGGCAGTTCCCTCACTTTGGATACCCAGCCCCAGCCTTGAAGCAACTCTCCAAGCCTCAGGGCCTCCCATGGCCATCTAGACAGCCCTAGAAATGAACCCTTAAGGTATTTCTAGACTACCTTCCAAATCCCTCCAAGATAGTGTACAAAAGGGTTTTCCTTAGCATCCCATATGTATCAGCAGCACTCCTCAAAAAGTGTAAAATAACAGCACCAACTCTAGAAAAATGTTTTGTTTTGGTACTTTGCTCATAGGTTTACTTTTTCCCTTATCCTTATCTCATCCTTGATTTTCTATTGCTCTACATGTAATGGGTAGGATAGTTTCCCATTTTAATAGTTTCATGTGATTTTCCTCCTCTTCAAATTCTACTCTACTGTATTACATTGCAGGGTACTCTATTATATACTGGCCTTTTCTATGCCTTATATTTGCATTATCATGTCTCTGAAATTTTATGTTCTTTTACAGTAAAACTTGACTGGGTAAGTTAAATTGGTCTATAAATATCAACATAATATCTGTTTGGGTTTTATTTCTTCAAAATTACTGCTTTTAAACGCTGAAGGGAATTTTTAACATTAGCAATGCTTTTTCTCAGTAGTTGTTTCAGAGCTGATACCAGTTTTTCACTGTTTGAACAGTTGGAAACTTTGGTTGTAATGCACAATGGAGATAAGTTGTTTCATGATACAAAATTTTCTATAATCTAAGCAATTTGTCTTAAAAACCTGATTTAAGCCACAGTTCTATACTCCCTCACTTGATAGTAAGTAATTCACCACTGAATTAAGTGATGTATCTGTGAGTAGACATATACAGGATTGAACTGTTAATGGATATTTACTCAGAAGTAAGCTTTACTAGATTTTATTCCCTGGTAAATATATAAATGATTGCAGCCTAAATTGTTGGTGAAAATATCCCTGTGCTTTGCCAAATATTTTGTTATTTGGTAAGGAAGATTTTCTACTGCCTGACATTAATATTTCAGGTAAAAATCTGATTTAGGGCACAGTTTTAACTATATATGGACTAATTCATTTACAAAGAGTATAGAATCCTTCATATGCTTCAAGATACATTAGAAACCATGTCAGTGAATTCTGTGGCTTTTATCTTGTTGGTTTCACACAACTGCTCATGCAGTACGTATTTAATGTGAAAAGAAACTTTGTCAGAAGTAATTTATCATGTGGAAATACTAGATTAATTCTCACATAACAGTTTTCAAAACTATCACAAAGCATTAGCATAGCACTTGGAAAATCAGACATAGAAGCTCAGTGTCATAAAACTATATAAGGCATGGTAAGTCCATATTTAAAAAAGATACCAGTTAAGCCAAAGGACTTCAATTTAAGAATTTTGGGATTGATATCAATTGAGGGTTTTATGTAAATTGCCTTGAGATTTTATAATAATCAGATGATATATAAGGAAATTTAAATAAATAAGTTGACGGTTCAATTCTAGACTATTAACAGTATAATCCTACATAGACATAAATCCAAATTCTCTCTGTGTTTGGGGGGGGGGGACTTTTTCCTTGGTTAATGGGTATGGCAAATAAAGTGGTTTATAAATGTCAGCTTCAGGTAAGTTGAAAGGATTTTTATTTGGAAATACATTTCTTTATTTCTATTGTAAGCTACCTAGGAAGGCCTCAGCAGTTATAGGTGGCCTATAAATATGTGTATAAATAAATAGATAATATATTTATGGCATTTAAGTATGCAAATACATAATTGCTAGATATGTAAATTTTGTTTTGATCTAAATCAATGGACATGTGGTGATTGTCTAGGGCCGTGTTTTGTACTAGGCAGTATATTACCTAGTGATTTTCCATGTCTACTGTCCTGTATTTAAACCAGAAGAATGGGCTGTAGATTTTAGGGCTGGGAGTAATAGCTTTGGACCTGGAAAGCTTGTTGTTTTTACTGAAACTGCAAACTAATCATCTGTACATTATTATCAGTTGATCTATCTGTAGATCTTTATTGGTACTACCAAAGCTTGGAGCTAATTACTGGAATTACTGCAGTAAAATACTTTAATGAAGTGAAATACTTTAATGAAAAGTATGTGTCTGCATTGGGAAATCAGGTCCCAGCAGCTGCCACCAGACAAGCCTGAGAGTACTTACCAGTGGAGGAGTCCCATCAAAGAGTCCTTTGTTTAGAACTCCGTCAAACCTAGAGTTGGCTACAGTTTGAGAACAGTATGGCTCGAGAAAAGAGGACAAGAAATGCTAAAATCATCGACTAGTAGAGCTGGAAGGAGCCTATAAGGCCATCAAGTCTAATTCCCTGCTCAATGCAGGACTCCAGGTTTAGGCATTCCTGACAAATGGCTGTCCAACAGTCTCTTGAATGCTTCTGCTGTGGGGATCCCATGACCTTTCTAGGTAATTGGTTTCATTGTTGCACTGTTCTAACAGTCTGAAAGTTTTCCTGATATCTAGCCAGAGTCTCATTTAAATTCAGAAAGAGTATCTATAAATTCTTCACATCTAAATTATTATCAAGGTCATTAACAGTGCAATCCTCTACATGTCTACTCAAAAATAAGTCATATGGGGATCAGTGGGTGTATTCCCAGAATACGAGTACAGAATTGTTCCCTAAAAAGCCAGCTTTGCAGACCCCCAAAATTGCATGTAACCAGCCATAAAAGCTTAATTTAGCTTTGTAATTAAAGCTGCAATATTATCCAAATCTACCCATTGAACTCAATGAGACATACTTCTAAGTAGATAGATACAGGATCACACTGTTAGTATACCTGTTTATTTCCCTCAATTCTTGCAAGAGGTGGCCAGCAGCCCTTCCTTACAAGTATCCTGCAGGATAAGAAAAAGACCAAACCACAGGGTAAATGTCAGGCATAGTTGGGCACCTGCAGACGGCCCACTTCCCAACAGGGGTGGATTGATTACAGTAGCATCCAGTTGTTTCTCCTCTTTGCCACTGTAGCCTGTTTGTCCACTCAGCTCTTGAGTTAGTCCAAATAACCATGTAGTGAGGAGGAGCAGAATACTTTACTGTTTACTAGCTTACCAGCTCTCTTCCTATGAAGCAAACAGAAGAGAGATAATGAAGAATCAAGAACAGCAGGTGCCAATGAGAGTGAGAAGGTAGATTCACTGAAGGAGGGGACCCACTGAGAATGTCTTACCCAAGGACCTTCAAAACCACAGAACCAGCACTGCTGAGTGGCCACCTATCCTCAAAAGCATAGATGTCTAAAGATTCCAGTTGTCAGGCACAAAAGTACCACCTAGGAATAAGATTTCCTCATGGATAAAGATGTACTCATGAGCAAGTTGTACTTTAGGAATGTTCTATTCAGTGGCCTACTGTTGATGCATAGGCCATTCCTAAGTACAGCTGAGCTTTAAATATGGTTTGGAAATGCTTCCATTCTAGCTACGTATTGCTGGAACAACATACATGCAGCAGTTCCTGCTTTGCATTTCCCCATTCAGCAAGCTTTTTCCTTAGACCCTAATTCTCTGGAGCTCTCTCTTTGCACCACTGTGAACAGGACATGCATGAAAGAGTAAATCTACTCACTATAATGTACTTAAGAGTATTCCACTGTTAACCTTCTTTTAAAAATCCTGTGAGAAAATACTAAGAATTACCTAAACCTTTAGAAGTAGATTTAAAGTAGAGCATTGAATATAAATTAATATGACTTGGACTGCAATATCAGGAGAGGTACTGAATATAGCAAGGGAGTTTCTTAGGATATTATAGAAATGCTAACATAATGACTTGCTAGGTAACTCTGGCAAACTAAAATGACAAAATTAAGCATCCTGTGTTTTGTATATATTGCATCCTTCTGGAATTACAGGTTTGACTGAGGAGCATGTATGGAAAATAGCATATGCACTTGCTTCTTTTCCACAGTACTGTTTGTGTGTGGAAGGGGAGTGTATCTTTGTTCATTTTTTATTTTGTCTGCTGCCACTCTCTTGAACCTCACTCTGTACTTGTAATTCTACATTGGGTTTATGGAATTTTGTCACACATCTATTTTAACAGTAGAAAAGTTGTCAATTCTACCATTTTGCTGAAATTGTGATTTCAATTATAGTAGTGATTTAACTTCACCCCATCAAGCAAAATATTGTTATATATCTTTTGTTTTTTACTAATATGGTTTTCCTTTTCAAATATGATGCATTTTTATTTTCTAAACAAATATTTCATTAAGGCAAGATTTGTTTTGAGGTTGTTGCTTATAATGACTGAAACATAGAATCTAATAAGAGATATTTTAGTACTTTCTCATGTTTTTTCCTTTACTAGTCAAAAAAGGTTCAATGCACTTACTACTTCATTACCACTAATAGCAATATGAATATATGGTACACAGAATGAGCCATTTTGTTTTAAAACAGATTGCAGATGAGAAGAAACCATTCATTGCTTGCTATAATTACTAGATCACTAATTACTCCTAATCACTGACATCCAGGGTCAATAAGTATGACAGCAGGAACATCAAAGATGGGATACACATGTACACTTACACATCTTTCAATCCAAGCTATAAATTTTTAATGGCTACTGTTTGTGACTTGATGCTAGAAACATTAAAAGTTGATTTTATTGTATCTGTATTCATTTATTTATTTTTATTTGTAGTTTGACGGTGAAAACATGTATATGAGTATGACAGAGCCGAGCCAGGAGTATGTGCCAGTCAGCCAGGTGGGTTAATTAATCTTCTCTGCCTTGTTTCAAATTGTAATTAAACAAATCCAAAGAATTGCATTGCAAATGAGTGGCACTATCAGTAACTGCTGCAATCAGAAATAATCATAATTTATAAACAAAGCATTTATGCCTTGTTTTCAGCTAATGAGATAGCACTGATAAAACACCGGAGTTGGCAGTTGTTGAAGATACTACCTCGTTTGCTCTCCAGAATGCAAGCAGCTGTTTTGCCAGCATGCTCATTCCAGAGCAGTTGTTTTACCTTTAGGAAATAGTCTTTACAGGTGCATGCTATTTGGTTATCTGACTACAGACAAGTTAATCATTATAAGCCACAGGTGCCACAAATTGCTTTACTTATATACAGACTTGTTTGGGCTTAGAACAATTGTTTTATTCTTTTTTTTAATGTGGTGAAGAGATTAGTTTTATTATTTAATTAGTTTCCTATTCTTACTTGGAATACTTATCATGAATACATACATACATACATATATATATATATATATATATATGGAGTATATATAAGTACACCTTCTCAACAGAAACTAGGTTTGTTCCCTCTTTGGTGTCTTTCCACAAGCAAAGACTGCTTTATTTAAGAAGGCCTTTAACTTGTAAGTCAAACTGGTAGGTTGTGAACTGTTTTCAATAGCATTTTTCTAGAGTTGCTATATATGATTGCATTTTAATATATTGTTTTAATTGATTTTGACTGGTTCTATAAGCTTCCTTAACTGCCAGTTTTGGGTAGGTAGGCTACAATCTCCTATGTCACCTCATTCATAGATGGCATTTAGAGAAGGGTCTCAGAAGGTGAGCTAGAGTTAAAATAAGTGCATACAGGTAACCTGATCCTAAGCCATTTAGGACTTTTAAATGTAATATCTGCACTTTGAATTGGGCTCTGAAATGAACTAAAAGGTACTGTGCATCACAATGCAGTAGTGTTATATAATGAAGTTTATGGACTATTTTCAAAGGCAGACGCACATATTACACATTGTAGTAACCAAACCAAAATGAAAAGAAGTTACTGGAATATGAATAACTGTAGTAAGACTACCTCTGTTCAAATAGAATCACAACTGGTACATTGGCCTAAGCTGATAGAAAGTGTTTTTAGCCAGGCCAACTCCAGTGATGTAAACTGGGTGCCTAAGAGGTTATGCAGCCTCCTCTAAAACATGCTGAACACTGTCCAACAGGGCAAAAAACACTGTCCAACAGGGCTCACTAACATAACTTCCATTCTCTCTGGACTGAGTTTATTGATCCTCATCCAGGCATTGATTCAGAGCATGGATTAGATTAAATGCAGAGTCAGAATTGGATTTTAACCACATATTGGTAATTCTTTAGTCTATATCTCTGGATGACCTCCCCCAGCCATGCCAATGCTAAACAATATAGGATAATACCAGGGCTTCTTAAAACTCCACTGTGTAAATGCCACAAGGAAGACCAAGAATTCACCAGTAGCACCTTCTGAAACTGCAAATTCTAAGTATAAATAGAGCTACCACCATACAGTGCCTCCAAGACACAACCAAATAAACCTATCCAGAAGGATATCATTGTAAGTGGTATTAAAAGCTGCTAATAAGGTCCAAGAAAATCAACTTCCATAAAGCCTATTAATTTTTTAAAAGAATTGCTGTAGAAAATAATGGGGGGGGGGGGGGGGGGGGAATGAGAGAGAGGGAAGGCCTGCAAGGCATCACCATAGAGAGTGAGGAAGCCAAAGGAGAGAGAGAGAGACCTCCAAAGATGTCTCACTGCCCTACCCACCTGGAGCAGGAAATCTCTTTGGCATTTCTTGCTTTAAAGAGGGAGGCACTGGTGAGTTTGGGCAGGGAGGATAGAGATATTCACAATCTGTACACCTTCACAAGTATCCTGATCCCAATAAATGTGGTGGGCTTAACTGTACATGATCTGACTTAATTACAAATTCAACTTAAAGATGAATTTCTGCTTTCTCAAGAATGGAATTCTCATAATCCAGGGAGTGCTTGTATTACATTTATCTGTTGCCTGATCCTCAGATCTAATGGTGCAAAAGCATGTACCCACCAGTGCATAACTAGGCTAATCACCCCCAGCTCCCCAAAGATACATTTCAGAAATGCAACTATACTTGCCCCCTCAGATACTTGCCCCTGATAATCAGATAAAAGATCAGAGGTATTTGAATTTGGATTGCTGCTGCATTCAGCAATATTACCAGTAGACCCAGTAAGGCAACCTGAACAATAGGCTTGTACTGTCCAGTTGTAGGAAGGGCTTCCCTGCTGTCAGTCCTCCCTGTACCAGGGCCAGGGAAAATACTTTGCCCCTAAGTGCTTTTATGGTGGGTAATCTGACAGCATTTCCTCACCCAGATCTGGACAGCAACTTCTTCCAAATTTTCCCTTGCCTATGTGTAGTACTGTTGGCACAACTGCAGCAGCTGGAATGAGTACTCTTCCATTTCTCTTGGTAACTTGGCTGTACCCTGTTTACTCTGCTGCTACAGGGCCTCTTGTCAGGTCTGGAGTAAATACTCCACCTGTTTGAATGTTTACAGATACAATTTATAGAATCCTTTTCAAGAATATTATCAATAAAGTGTAGGCTTTTACATAATTATATTTAATTATAGACTCTTCAGGAATTGTGGATAAACTTTGAAAAATGCTATAATGTAACATTTGGTAGCTGTCAATGTTGGCATTTTACTGGCATTTTCTTAGGAGTATAAGATTGCCATAAATGTTCCACACATACAACATATACCTGTTCCAATAGGTAACAGGTCAACACTTCATCTTCATTCAGGAAGCGGGTCAAGAAGCACTTTTTAATTTGGCTTTTTACATTCCTGTTTGAAAGTTGTTTTGAGTGTTTCATTGTATCTACACTTATCATATTTTTAATTCCTATAAGTGGCCTTAGTTGGTTCTCAGAAGATGGTAAAGAAATGAATAAATAAATAGGTGGGTACACAATAAAATGTTCTGGTAGTTTAGATAAGGTGGATTAAGGGAGCAATCCTATGGCCCCTGAATGGCCATAGGAGGGTTGAGATTCCAGCTCTGAGGCTGCCAACTCTGCTCCTAACTCTGAAGCTGGGAATCAGAAGTTTTCCTCCAGACCCCCACCTGTTTGCAGCCAGTGTGGAAAGAACCACATTGGCTCTTGTCTTAGGTCAGGAAAACAGGTTCATGTGCGGGGGGGGGGGGGTTGCAGGGGATGAGAGGAAGGAGGCTGGTGAGGTCAGCACACAGCCTATCCTGATGCTTTTCCATGCTACTTGGTTTTCTCTCTGAAACTCTCCAGCTATATGTACAAAAAGTCTGTCTGATTGAAAATGCTGGATGGGTGGTAAAGACAGGGAGGTGAAAATAGTTTCCACTCCTTCTCTTTCTCTCTGTATAGGATGACTATAAGTCTCTGAATCCAGGGAGTCTGGGCATTGCAATAGGATTTTGCCCAAATAACTCTATATAAAGAGGTAATTCGCAACTAAAACGTAGCAGTGTTTCCATGAAGAAATTAAAGCAATAAGAACATGGATGCTGATGCCACTTTTAAGCTTTCTGGCAATTTGTGGTTTTGATCATTTAATGGTTTAATATTATTTACATTATTATAAAATCTGTTTTTAATTATCTGACATCTGTATTAAGCAGGAATGAGTTCCCTTGGAAAATGACACTAGTCTAAGATATATTCATGGAGTCATGGTGTTCTATAGCTGTCATTTATGCTTTTGAAATGGTATAATTTACACATTTATTTTGTTTCTTTAATTGCTTAACCACGCTTAACTTGACTAGGTCAAAGTGCAATCTTTATAAAATCTGTCTTTAAAAAGCATATGATCACAGCATATTACTCCTTCATTTCTGCTGAAACTATTTTAAGAGTTCCTTTCAGGCAAGGGCACGGAATCATAGGATTGGAAAGAGTTCCATTTGTTGACAAATAGATCTAGGATTAAGCATAAGCCCCCTGCTTGAAACAGCAGGTAAATTACTGACACCTTCTGTTTTCTGAGGTGCCCAGTGCCACCTCAAAGAGTATTCTGAAAGATACCACAATCCTGCAGAACAGATTTATGCGCACACAGTGGGGAGGGGGAAATTGATGAAAGTCACCTCCCTCTCCACCCACATTGGTGGCACACAGTTTGCAGAGCTCCCAACAGCTGTCCTGTACACCTATCCATATTTAATTTATGGGTAGGTGTACATATTTTAATTTATAACTGCATGTTTTCTTTCTGTAACCACCCTTAAGCATGGCCATATTGTTCAATATACATCTGTCTGAAAAGAAAGTGATCCCAAACCATTATTCCTGAGCTGTTTGCTGAATTCATTCACGATGACTTTTGGAAGAATTAACCTGTATAATTGAGTCAGTTTGGCCAAGACTATCCTATGTTCAGTTAAGTAGCTCTGAAATGAACAGTTTGATAAAAAGTTGGGGGTAGGGAAGATTCTTTACAACCAAATCCTGTCTTGACAAGTCTAGCAGTACTGTTAGATTAAAGCAACCAAGCATCATCTTGTTCTTGCCTTAAGGGCTTTCAAGCACAAGGACTAATTGAATTTGTTTGAAATTGTAAAGTACAAACTCTCTGAATGATTGCTGTTACAAAGCAGCTGCTACCTTTCAGAGAATCATTATGTCTGTCTTATCATTTTGAATAAAGAATGCACTTCCACGTTTTCCAACAGAGAGCCATTTTCCTTCTGATGATATGCTATGTGCCATACATATGTTTAAATCACTTTCTTGGTATTTTTAAAGATATGTGAAAAGGAAGGTTACAGATTTTATGCAACTTCTGTCAACAAACAGGAATGTGTTGAGGATTCCCCAAAGGACACTAAAATGCTCCTTTAATTGTTGAATACCCATATATTGTATCACACACTATTAAATTTTAAATGAATTCTCCAAAATAGTTATATTTTAATAGTCTATTTCTACTATTATGTACA